ATGCAGTGCTTCATTCGTCACACGGTCGCTAAGCGAATCAGGCTTCCCCTGCTGACATCGCTGGTCAGAAAATCGCGTGACCCCCGGGGGAGGCCGCGACCGTCATAAATACGAGTCGGTCGCCAAGGGTCGCGCGACCACGGAGCTACCGCGATGGTCACGAAAGCCGGTCGTTAAGTCGCTTGTTCAGTGCCGTTGTAACTTTGAAGAGCCACTGCAGACAGCTCCCGACTGACAACGCGTTTAGTGACCATTCGAACGGCACCGAAAAAAAGAGACTCGTGGCCATCTTTCGCACTTGAGTCCACTGCACCATCTCCACGGTCGCCGGATCCAAAAGCAGACGCTCAGCAACCGGCTCACACCGATGAGGGTCGTGGTGTCCCGTGTGTGTGTGTGTGTGTGCGTGCGCGCACGTGTCACGCGATCCCCTTCTGCGACCATTTGACAAGCAAAAGTAAACCGGGGTAGCCGGTTTAGCTTAACGGCCGTGTGACCCAATTAACTGCGACGATTCAATTAACAAGTCTAGCAAGAACGGTCGTAAAAGGGGACAAAACTCACTTAATGGATGCCTGGCCTGTACATCCGCCGAGAGTGGAATTGCAGCGGATTTTCACGAGCTAGAATCTAGAACAGAATAGAGCTGGAAGGGAACTTGGAGGTCTTCTAATCCAGCCCCCTGCTCAAGCAGGAGAACCTATACCATCTCAGACAAGTGACTGTCTGGTCTCTTCTTAAAAAGCTCCAGTGATGGAGTGCCCACGTTTTCTGGTGGCCAGCTGTTCCACTGGTTAATTGTCCTCACTGTCAGGAAGTTTCTCTTTAATTCCAGGTTGAATATCTCCTGGAATGGAATAGAATAGAATAGAATAGAATAGAATAGAATAGAATAGAATAGAATAGAATAGAATAGAATAGAATAGAATAGAATAGAATAGAGCTGGAAGGGACCTTGGAGGTCTTCTAGTCCAGCCCCCTGCTCAAGCAGGAGAATCTATACCATCTCAGACAGATGATTGTCTAGTCTCTTCTTAAAAAGCTCCAGTGATGCCCACGATTTCTGGTGGCCAGCTGTTCCACTGGTTCATTGTCCTCACTGTCAGGAAGTTTCTCCTTAATTCCAGGTTGCTTCTCTCTTTGGTCAGTTTCCAACCATTGTTTCTCGTCCTCCATCTGGTGCTTTGGACAATAATTGGACCCCCTCCTCTTCTTTGGGGCAGCCTCTCAGATACTGGAACATTGCTATCATGTCTCCCCTATTTCTTCTTTTCTTTAGACTGGCCAAACCCAAGTCCTGCAGCCGTTCTTCGTATGTTTTAGCCTCCAGGCCTTGGATCCTCTTAGTTGCTCTTCTCTGGATTTTTTCCAAAGTCTCAACATCTTTTTTGTGATATGGTGACCAAAATTGGCTGCAATATTCCAGGTGTGGCCTTACTAGGGTTTTACAAAGTGGCCTATTATCCCCCTCAAATTTGATTCACATCGGAGAATTATTCCAAATAACCTTCCCAAAACCCCAGCCCCCCCAACTCTCCTTCTCCTTGACCCAATTCCTAAATTAAAAATGCGTTCCCCCCCCCTGAAGGCAGGGCCGCCTCCGTTTGGACCTAGCCGCTATTTTTAGGAAAGGGATAATCAATTGTTGGAGGAAGGTAGTAAACGGCACCACTTCCATTTCAAACTCCCTGAAATAGTAAATTGTTTTGACACTGTCAAGCACCACTAAATCGCTGTGCGACAGAAGTTGCCCAGATAAAGCATCTGCTTCTTAATTTTTAAACTGTTTTCAAACAGCAACAAATACTGAATAATCAGCTTTTTTTTTTTTTTTTGGTAACCAGAAAAAAAAAGAGAGAGGATCAGCACTTTCTTTTATTTCACCGAGTAATTGCAGAAGTTTATTCTGATTTTTTTCTTTAAAAAAAAAATCATTTCCCCCCCTTTTCAAGCCAGCCTCCAGCCAGCCTCGTTTGCAGAAGTTTTATAATATATTCAGACGCTTTAAACTAATTTCCGGCCAATGGCTATTGATCATCCATTTTGGTGTGTGTGTGTGTGTGTGTGTGTGTGTGTGTGTGTGTGTGTGTGTTATTTTCTAAGGCAGTGGTTCTCAACCTTTTTAATGCCGCGACCCCCAACAGGTCGTAAGTCGAGGACTACTCAACCGGTCGTAAGTCGAGGACTACTCAACTGGTGCAGCACCGTTTGCAGAATGGGACTTTTGGCGGGCTCAGCAGGGCAGAGACAGGCTGGATAATTCTTATTGGCTTTCAAAAGCCAACAGAATAAAAGGGAGTAGCACAGCTAAGGAAAAGGGGGGGGGGGGAAATGGCGGACTGCGTTGTTTGGTGACCCCCGTGAAATGGTCGTTCGACCCCAAATGGGGTCCCGACCCACAGGTTGAGAACCACTGTTCTAAGGGATGAAAATAGCCTTCCTTGAATTTTGGGGTGAATCGGAAGGGGAGACCCCAACCAGGGTTGTCCGCAAGCTGTAATGACAAGGTATAAAGCAGGTCTTTATAGGTCCTTTGTAGGTCTTCGGAAACAGGCAACACACGGGTTGAAAATAGGGATGGGGGGGGGCAGATAAAAATACAAGAAGTCCTCTGAAGTTACGACCGTAGTGGAGCCTTGCCATCACGGTCGTAACACTTGACGGTCACGTAGTGGACCTGGTTTTGCCACTTTTTTTTTTCAACGGGTCGTTAAGTAAATCATCACGGACGTTAAGGGAAGCGGTGGCTCCCTATGGGCGCGGCGTTATTGAAAATCGGGAAGAAATGCCGGTTTTTTGGCAAAAGCTGTAGTTTAAAAAGGCATCCCATGACCGGGGGATGCTGCAGACAGCTGTAAGTTGTTATCACATGGATGTACTGCCGTGCTGCATTTACGGCCACAGCGGAGTCCAAAACGGGTGTTGTTAAGGGAAACATTTGTTAAGTGAGTCTTGCCCCGTTGTACGACGTTCCCTGCCACGGTTGTTAAGTGAATCATTGCCTTTGTTGAGTAATGTGGTCGCTAAGCAAATCCCGCTTCCCCTGTTGACTTTGCTCGTCAGAAGTTCGCAAAAGGGGATCGTGTGACACCCCCCCCGGGGACATGGCAACCGTCGTAAATGTGAACCTGTCGCCAAGCAGCTGGATTTGGATCGCGTGCCCACGGAGGATGCGGCGACGGCTGGTCGTTAAGTCACTTTTTTTCCCAGTGGTGTTGTAACTTTGGGCGGTCATTAAATGGACTGTTGTAAGTTGAGGACTAGCTGTATTCTCTTTTTTAAAAAAATTGTTTATTTTATGGTTCCGTTATTTCACTTCCATTTTGTGCTCCCTTCGTTGCTTTATTGGGGTAAAGCAGCCAAGAACAGCCCCACGGGGAGACAGGCGGCAAATCAGATTCACAAACAAACAAACAAACAAACACACACACACAGCGCCTAGTTGCCAAACAAGCTGAAGGGGGGGTCATATGACTGGGGGGGGGAGAGAAGAGACTGGGCCATAATTAACAGCCGGGGAGGTTTGTGGGAAATTTGAATGGTCGCTTGGCGTATCGGTCGTTAATCGAGGACTACCTGCATTGCCAGTGGTGGGATTGAAATACCCGAACAAGTGGTTCTCTTATTGGATGCAGGCCTGGGCCTCCGAGGCCTAGAACGGACTTCCGGAAGTGGCATCCACGCACTTCCGGCGGGCCATTCTAGGCCTGGGAGGCTTCCTCCAGGTGTCCGAGGCCTAGAACGGACTTCCGGAAGTGGCATCCATGCACTTCCGGCGGGCCATTCCAGGCCTGGGAGGCTTCCTCCAGGCCTCCAAGGCCTAGAACGGACTTCCGGAAGTGGCATCCATGCACTTCCAGCGGGCCATTCTAGGCCTGGGAGGCCTCCTCCAGGCCTCCAAGGCCTAGAGCAGACTTCCGGAAGTGGCATCCATGCAGTTCCGGCAGGCCATTCTAGGGCAGGGAGGCCTCCTCCAGACCTCCAAGGCCTAAAACGGACTTCCGGAAGTGGCATCCACGCAGTTCCAGCGGGCCATTCTAGGCCTGGGAGGCCTCCTCCAGGCCTCCAAGGCCTAGACTGGACTTCCGGAAGCAGTGTACATTCAGCCAGTTCTCTGAACTCAGCAAAATTTAGCTACCTGTTCTGCCTAGCATCTCTCTTGTTCAGCAGTAGAATTTTGGGCAGTCCTGTACCCATTGTGTGAATCTTCTCAGGGAGAGGAAAGGCAGCCATTTCCCATCTTTGTATCACGATGAAAAGGCTCATCAGCAAGCTTATTTAGGTACATGCACCATCATCATCACCACCACCACCACCCCCCCCACCACTATCATCATCATCACCATTATTATTATTGGAGGTGACCCTTTGAGAGCTATATGCAACGACATCTCATTTTAATGTATTAATATACATTTAAAGTGGCAATGTTATTCTACTATTCTATTCTATATTCCATTCCATTTTCTATTTTCTATTATTTTCTATTTTCTATTCTATTCTATATTCTATTTTCTATCCCATTTTCTATTCCATTCCATTCCATTCCATTCATTCCATTTCATTCCATTCTATTCTATTCCATTCCATTCCATTCTATATTCCACTTTCTATCCCATTTTCTATCCCATTTTCTATTCTATTCTATTCTATATTCCATTTTCTATCCCATTTTCTATTCTATTCTATTCTATTCTATATTCCATTTTCTATCCCATTTTCTATCCCATTTTCTATTCTATTCTATTCTATTCTATTCTATTCTATTCTATTCTATTCTATTCTATTCTATTCTCCATTCCATCTATTCTATTCCTTATTCTATTCTAATTCTAATTCTAGTCTAGTCTATTCTTCATTTATTCTGTTCTATTCTGTCCTGTCCTATTCTATCCATTTTCTTTTCTACTCTACTCTACTCTAATTCTACCCTATCCTACCCTATCTACATTGTGCTCTGCATCCACAGCCTGGCTGCACGATGGATCCGCAAACGTTACCTGGACAATGAAAGTCTCCTGGCCTTCCAACCGTGAGACGGCCCGGCCCCGGGGGCTGCAGAACTCAAGGGAGACCCCGCCGACTTCTTCACCAGCCTGTAGCGAGTGTTGACCACTCGGTGGGAGACCGGGCTGGTGACCAGGAGGAAGCTGGAACCTGCAGGAGAAAGACACGTCGGCTTGAAAAATCGGAGCAGCCCAAGGACGGGGCCATCATCGTTTTTATTAAGCACTTCGGGAAACTATGGTTTCCTCTTGAAGAATCCTGGGAGTTGAAATCTACGTATCTCGACGTTGCCAAGGTTGAGAAACCCTGAGCTAGCTCAACTCCTGAGAAAGCCACCGTGGTGGCCGTCTCCCCGTTCTGCCTCCAGCTTACCTGGAGCGCCAGAGACCCGTTCAACTTCTCAAATGCAAGTCTTCGTCGGCTTGAACCTCTGTGCAAGGCTCCAAATACTCCAGTGCTTTGATTTTTTTTTTTTAATAAGCTTAACGTCCTACCTGACCCAAAAAAGTAATACACCTACTCAACTAGGTTAACATCATCAGTGCTGGAAGGTGCAAACCCCTCTCCCTTCTAGCACTGAGGATGTTCCCTAGTTGGGTCATGAAACGTCTGCAAGAAAACAGCCCAGCTCAGAGAGCATCAGGGATCCCACATTCCTCCTCCTCTTCCTCCTCCCTTCTAGCACGGATGATGTTCCCTAGTTGGGTCATGAAACATCTGCAAGAAAACAGCCCAGCTCAAAGAACAACAAGGACCCCACATTCCTCCTCCTCCCCTTCCTCCTCCTCCTCCTCCCTTCTAGCACGGATGATGTTCCCTAGCTGGGTCATGAAACGTCTGCAAGAAAACAGCCCAGCTCAGAGACCACTAAAGAGTTCCCCCTCCTTCTCCCCCCCCCAAGTTCTTCCCTTCTGTCACTGATGATGTTCCCTAGCTGGGTCATGAAACATCTGCAAGAGAACCGCCCAGCGCAGAGAACATAAAGGACCCCACAGTCGTCCTCCAACTCTTCCTCTTCTCTGTACCCCCACTCCCCTCTAGCACTGATAATGTTCCCTAGTAGGGTCATGAAACGTCTGCAGGAAAACCACCCAGCTCAGAGAGCACCAGGGACCCCAGAGTTCAACCCCGGGCTGCAAATATTCCCTTCTCTCCGTCTGTGTCTTCTGGAGGGAGACTTGGGGCCAGGAGTGACAGAGGGACGAGGGGGTTCTTCAGTGGCGGGCAGGGACACAGGGACACGGATCTCCCCCCCCCTTCTGAAGGAGGCGCGTGCAGGGAAGGAAGCGGGACAGGCTCTGCACGGGGAAAGCCGTTCTTTCAGAGGCCTGTTAACTCAATCATGGAAGGAGCTTGTGATGCTTTGCTCAGCGAAACTGCCTTCCCCCATTGACTTTGCCTGTCAGAATGTCGTCAGACATGGCAACCGTCGCAAGTATGAGATAACTGCCAAGTGTCTACATTTTGATCACGGGTCCCTGCGGAGGCTCACAGTGGTGATAAGCGTGGAAAAACGGTCATAACTCACTTTGCTCAATGCCATTGTAACTTTGAATCGTCTCTAAACGAACTGTTGTAAGTCGAGGACTACCTGGGTTGCTTTTGTTTTGTTTTTTGGGGCGTCCCCCCCGAATCTTATATAGATCCTTCCGCCCAGGTACGAGTGGCTTTGAATGCGCCCCGCATTCATTGAGAAAGGACACCTACGCGGCTCCCAAACAGATTTATGTATTTAATCATTTCCCCTTTCACAACATTTTGGAAGGTGATCTACGCCCCGTTTTTTTTTTTTTTTTTTTCCCCTGCTGAGGGCTACCTGCAATTAACAGCTAAATGCTGGATTCTGTCCCCTTTTTGCTCTCGCTAGTCTAGCCGGCCACTTTGTGTGTGTTTTTCCCCCCACCGCTTTTAAGGAATTGCATCTAATTGCCTGACTTTTATTATACACACAGCTATAACTGGCCAGATAATTAAAGCTGACACTTCCACGCTGAGACTTTAAGGCGGCGGGTTCTGCCACTGATTTGAAAAGAGGACGCCCATTTTCTCCTTTGGGAAGAAATCCTCACTTGAAATGATTGCAAGGTGCAAAAGTGAGGGAAAAAAGAGAGCTATATATTTCTTCTTCTTCTTCTTCTTCTTCTTCTTCTTCTTCTTCTTCTTCTTCTTCTTCTTCTTCTTCTTCTTCTTCTTCTTCTTCTTCTCTTCTTCTTCCCTTCTTTTCTTCTTCTTCTTCTTCCCTTCTTCTCTTCTCTTCTTCTTTTCTTCTTCTTCTTCTTCTTCCCTTGTTCTTCTTCCCTCCTCCTCCTCCTCCTTCTTCTTCTTCTTCTTCCCTTCTTCTCTTCTTTCCTCCTCCTCCTCCTCCTCTTCTTTCCTCCTCCTCCTCCTCCTCCTCCTCCTCCTCTTCTTCTTCTTCCATTCTTCTTCTTCTCTTCTTCTTCCCTTCTTCTCTTCTTCTTCTTCTTCTTCTTCCCTTCTTCTTCTTCTTCTTCTCTTCTTCTTCTCTTCTTCCCTTCTTCTTCTTCTTCTCTTCTTCTTCCCTTGTTCTTCTTCCCTCCTCCTTCTTCTCTTCTTCCCTTCTTTTCTTCTTCTTCTTCTTCTTCTTCTTCTTCCCTTCTTCTTCTCTTCTCTCCTCCTCCTCCTCCTCCTCCTCCTCTTCTTCTTCCCTGAATTTCTTCTCCCAGCCTTGCCAGTTACATCAGGGCAAAATAAAGGGAATCTATCAGGGGCAGCACCGGGAACATGACAGAAGAACAGAGTTGAAAGGGACCTGAGAGATCTTCTAGTCTGACCCGCTGCTCAAGCAGGAGTGTCCAGCCTTGGGAACTCTACGGCTTGTGGATTTCAACTCCCAGAATTCCCCTGCTTGCCTCCCTCCCTTCCTCCGTCCTTTCCTTCTTCCCTCCCTCCTTCCAGCCACCCCCTCCTTTTTCCTTTCCTTCCTCCCTCTCTTCTGATTGCAAAGCACCCACTGATATACAGGTGGTCCTCAACTTAACGACCACAACTGAGCCCCAAATTTAGGTTGCTAAGTCAGACGGTCGTTAAGTGAGTTTTGCCTCATTTTACGACCTTTCCTGCCACCGCTGTTAAGTGGATCACTGCAGCTAAATGGCTTCTTCCATTGGCTTTGCTTGTCAGAAATAGCAAAAAGGGGGGGTGGGGGAGCACGTGACCCCGGGACGCTGCAGCCGTCGTAACTATGAGTCTGAATTTTGATCATGTGACCACGGGGAGGCTGCGACGGTCGTAAGTGTGAAAAAAATGGCCCTAAGTCACATTTTTCAGTGCCGGGGTAACTTCGGTCACTAACTTTGTCAGTTGAGGATTACTTGCACATTGCAGCAAAAAAAAAAAAAAAAATGGGGGGTGAGGTCTCGATATGGACTAGTCACCCAGTGGATAGATAAATTATAAATAAACCGATGTTCAAAATTAATGACAGAGCTGAAAGTCACTTCCAAAAAGATCTTGACAGCCCTGAACAATGGGCCCTATTCAGCAATATGAAATTTAATGTGGGGAAAAACAAGGTTTTTCACCTGGGAAAGGAAAACCCAAAGGCACAAGTATAGATTAGGTGAGACCTGGCCCAAAAACAGTCCCTGTGAGAGGGACCTCGGAGTCCTAGAGGAGCAGTGGTTCTCAACCTTTTTAATGCCATGACCCCCAATCGGTCTTAAGTCGAGGACTACTCAACCGGTCGTAAGTCGAGGACTACTCAACTGGTGCAGCACCGTTTGCAGAATGGGACTTTTGGCGGGCTCAGCAGGGCAGAGACAGCCTGGATAATTCCTATTGGCTTTTGAAAGCCAAAAGAATTAGACTCTATTCAAGAGAGTCTATTCTATTGGCTTTCAAAAGCCAATAGAATAAAAGGGAGGAGCACAGCCAAGGAAAAGGGGGGGAAAATGGCAGACTGCGTTGTTTGGCGACCCCCGTGAAATGGTCGCTCGACCCCAAATGGGGTCCCGACCCACAGGTTGAGAACCACTGTAGTGGAGGATCCCTTAAAGACGAGCCAGCCGTGTGCACTAGCAATCAAAAAAGCTAACACAATCCTGGGTTGCATTAACAGAGGGACACAATCAAGATCACGTGAAGGGTTAATACCACTTTACAAGGCCTTGGTAAGGCCACACTTGGAATACGGCATCCAGTTTTGGACACCGCGATGTAAAAAAGATGTTGAGACTCTGGAAAGAGTGCAGAGAAGAGCAACAAAGATGATCAGGGGGCTGGAGGCTAAAACATACAAGGAACGGTTGATGGAATTGGGGATGTCTAGTCTAATGAAGAGAAGGATGAGGGGGGACATGATAGCTGTGTTCCAGTATCTCAGGGGCTGCCCCAAAGAAGAGGGAGTCAAGCTATTCTCCAAAGGGCCTGAAGGCAGGACAAGAAGCAATGGGTGTAAACTAACCACAAAAACTATTTCTTAACAAGATGTTGAGACTTTGGAAAAAGTGCAGAGAAGAGTAACTAAGACAATCAAAGGCCTGGAGACTAATACGTACGAAGAACGGCTGCAGAAATTGGATATGACCAGTCTGGAGAAAAGAAGGACGAGGGGGGACATGATAGCAACCTTCCACTATTTGAGGGGCTGCCCCAAAGAAGAGGGGGCCCACCTATTTTCCAAAGCACCAGAAGGAAAGACAAGGAACAACGGATAAACAAAACTAAGCCAGGAGAGAAGCAACCTGGAATGGAGGATTAATTTCCTGACAGTGAGGACAATTGATCAGTGCCTTCAGCGGTTGTGGCTGCTCCATCATTGGAGGTTTTGAAGAAGAGACTGGATAGCCCTTTATCCAAATGGCATAGGGTCTCCTGCTTGAGCAGGGGGTTGGACTAGATGACCTCCAAGGTGCCTTCCAATTCTCTTATTCTGTGATTCTGTCAGGGTCTCCTGCTTCAGCAGGGGGTTCCAAGGTCCCTTCCAATTCTCTTATTCTATGATTCTGTCAGGGTTTCCTGCTTGATCAGGGGGTTGGACTAAATGACCTCCAAGGTCCCTTCCAATTCTCTTATTCTATGATTCTGTCAGGGTTTCCTGCTTGATCAGGGGGTTGGACTAAATGACCTCCAAGGTCCCTTCCAATTCTCTTATTCTATGATTCTGTCAGGGTCTCCCGCTTGAGCAGGGG